CTACAAGTCCACCAAATATGAAAATAAGTAGCGTCCAAGCTACCACATCTCCAACATTTGGGCTGTAAATTAGGATACATACAAGACAACTTTTTAGGATCCAGATGCCATCTATAAAACATTTTGTAAAAATTTTCTCTTAAATTTTGGGCCTGGGTAAATTTTACATTTCTAACCCAAATTACCTCCCATATATCCAATGAAATCGGTTCTTGAACATTTTGGGCCCACTTTACCATACAATCTTTAACTAATTCCATTTCCGAATCCATCTCTATTAAAGCATTATAAATTCTCTTTATATGCGCTCAATTTTGATCTTTAATCTGTTTTACCAAATTCTCATCCATTAATGCAGTGGTTCTCAACCTTTCTAATGCCGGGACCCCATAATACAGTTCCCCATGTTGTGGTGACCCCCAACCACTTATACATCGCCGGGTGCCAGGGGCGTGGCCAAGTGGGTGTGGCCACCAAGTGGGCGTGGCCACCATGTTGTGGTGACCCCCAACCATAAAATTATTTTCATTGCTATTTCATAACTGTAATTTTGCTACTGTTATGAATCATAATGTAAATATCTGATATGCAGGATATATTTTCATTGTTACAAATTGAACATAATTCTATTCTATTCTATTCTATTCTATTCTACTCTATTCCATATTGTCTATTCTATTCTCTCTTCCATATTCTCTGCTCTGCTCTGCTCTGCTCTGCTCTGGTCTATATTCTATTCTATTCTATTCTATTCTATTCTATTCTATTCTATTCCTTATTCTATTCCTTATTCTATTCTATTCTATTCTATTCTATTCTATTCTATTCTATTCTATTCTATTCCTTATTCTATTCTATTCCTTATTCTATTCTATTCTATTCTATTCTATTCTATTCTATTCTATTCTATTCTATTCTATTCTATTCTATTCCATTCATTTTCTACTCTACTCTACTCTGCTCTGCCCTGCTCTACTCTGCTCTATATTCTATTCTGTTCTGTCCTATTCTATTCCATTCCATTCCATATTTTCTACTCTACTCTGCTCTGCTCTATATTCTATTCTGTTCCATTCCATTCTATTCCATTCCATATTTTCTACTCTGCTCTGCTTTGCTCTGCTCTGCTCTATATTCTATTCTATTCTATTTGACAATTTAGGATCGTCTTCTTCCTGGTTATTCAAAAAAGATTCAGTTATAGAAATGACAACTTTCTGATCATTCTCTACATCTCCCAGCTTTGCATTTGGAGTGAAATGAATCCCAAATTGCCCTTAGTATATTTTATTATTTTATTTCAAAACGGTCAGAGAGGAGGGTAATTTCCCTAAGAACCTCCCGCCATGGCGCTCGAGGAGCTCCTGTCTCTCAGCCCTGCCCCTTTCGAGGAGGAGAGTTTGGGTGAGTAGGGAGCAGAGGGAAAGCGTTCTCTTCTCACGGAGGAAATTGGCCTCGGTGGCTCGCCATACAGGCGTACGCAAAGCCTTAAGCAGCGTGAGAGTTGGAAGAGCGAGGGGTTCGCCTTTCCATCCCTGCTGCGGGGCTTCAGCTTTGTGGGTTGGTATTTCATGCTCGCGTGATTCGAAACGCCACAATGGCTCAGAACGTTCAGAGTGTTACATTGTCTCTCACGCTGCCCATCACTTGCCACATTTGCCTGGGAAAGGAAAACGGACGCCAGTGGGGGGCGGCGGGAGGGTGCGGACGGCAGGCAGGCCCAGGTGGCAGCAGGCGTTGCGGGCCAGGTGCTCCTGGGCGGCCACATAGACTCAGGATGAGACAGCGGCGGCACAGGTCCAGCTCCAGCCAGGCCAGCCTCCCCTCACTCCCTTCAGGGGTCTGCCCGGAGCCTTTAGTGAGGGGGTTATTGTTATTGTTAGCGCCCCGGGACGCCCAGCTTGGCTCGGGTGGGCTTCACAGAGGGGACCCCCGTCCGGCTTCGGCAGCCCGGGAGGGGAGCAGGTGGGGTTCCCTCGAGCCCCCTCCCCAGCTATGGGCACTCGCCGCTCAGCAGCAGCGCTGCCGCCGCCGCTCTTCGCAAGAGCTTTTCTACCTGTAGGGCGCCAAACGCAGCCCGGCACTTGCCTGCCTGCCTGCCTGCCTTCCTCTCTCGGGGACTCCCGGGCGCCTGCCCTGTGCCGTCAGCAAACTAGGCCGGCTGCTCAGCCATCCGCCGCGCCCCACGCTCACCACTTTCGCAGGCAGCGCCAGCTGCTGCCCCATCAGAACCACCTCCGCCGTCGCCTGTCCCACGCAGCCCCGCTGTGTGAAGCGGGCCCCGCGGCTCCCACGGCACCACCCGCACACCACAC